AATGGTCAATAAAGCTGTTAAAAAAAAAATGAAAGTTTAATGATCAGGTTTTCTTCCCCTATGAAATCTCCTCTTTGAATTAAAAAACTGCAAAAAAGTGATTCCCAGAAAAAAATTTGTACATGCAAAAGGAGAAAAAAAATGCCAATTCTACAAATAAGGCTTATGCAAGATTCTTATGCACTGCTTAAGTGTGAAAAGGTGTTTATCATTCTGCCGTGTTGGATGGGAAATACCATTCTAGATCTAAATGTAAGTTTTACAAGCTTTAAAGAAAACTCCTAAAGTATGAGCTAAAACCCCTTCTGATAAATCTTTAGAGGGAAGACTATAAGATAAATCAACTAAGTTTCCTACAAAATGAGTCACTCAAATTCTGTAGGGATGGTTATTAGTAAGGATGGTTATTAGTAAGTACTCTGGGGAGCCCCTCTTAAGCTGGTTCATAACCCACCACTGAACATTTGATAAGGAGCATCAATTAACAAAAAAACTTACGTCATAACTTTTGCCTCATCAATGAAATCATCCTCAGACATTGCACCTTCCTTCATCAACTTAACAGCCACATGCAAATTTCCACGGAATGTACCTTGTCTGACTGTCTGTCATGGAAAAAAAATGAACAGCATAGTAAGTGAAAATAAGTTAATATAACAATAGAAATTCTTACTTTCACATTGGTGGGGAGTCTTTGTCACACCATCCTATATAACTGCAGATTAAAAATGTGTAGCAGCTTCAACTAATCAATAAATGAAAAAAAGCAGAGTTTACATGTAAGTTGTTTTGATTGAACCGAGTGCGCCTTCATTTACAAGGTTTGGGTTTCTAGTAACTTAAGGTAATGAGCTGTAAAGTGAACATTTCACCCAGCTTATTATAGCCATTTCCCTTTGAAAGTTATGTTGTAGCAGAATGGCAGGAGCAAACAACATTAGTTGAGATTCACAGTGCAGCACTTAAAAATATTCAATCTGGAAATAATTTTCCTTGCCACTGACAAAAGAGATTAACTGGATAGTAATATCAAATGTATTTAAAATAGCACTAAATATTTGACTACATTTTCATTAATTGGTTTCCCATGACTAACACTCATAACAGCATTAAAACTACAGGAGAATCATAGAATTATACCCAATACAAAGTTAGATTTTAGAGAGGAAAGTAGTGGATAAACAGATTATACAAATATATCTAGTTATCATCCAACTGCACATAGTAGAGTACAAATAAATAAAGGGGTAAGTTTCTAAAGAAACTGTGGTGCTGCGTCGGTGGGA